ACAAGAAGAGGCTTCGAGGTAGGTCCTGGGGGGTGTAGCATATATATATATATATGTGTGTGTGTGTGTCTATGTATAGATATTGTAGTCTAGCCTAGAATAAGGAACCCAAGGAAAAGTGTCACTAACTGTTCTGACCCCCATTTTTGTTGATGAGCAGCAGCAGCAGCAGCAGCAGCAGTTATTACAACAGTTGTGGTCGTGCTGCATTGGTTTCGGTGGTAGTAGCAGCAGGAGTACACGCAGCGTAAGGCTTAAGGCTTTCCGATGCTACTTCAATCGGTATGCGTACTGCAAGTACTGCGCTGGCCATGTACTCGCGATGCCATGATTGCTCTTATGCTAGTTACATGCCGTAACCATGTCTAGGACTGCTTCCAGTCGGCTATACCTACTGCAGTTTTTGGAGCAACCCCGCGATCACCGGCTCAAAGAGGTCCTGAAACTGTGCTGTGACCAACATGGCGGCTGGAATCTCACGGCCGCTTCTTTTACTTTCTGTAGTAGCAGTTTCTGTGGTATCGAGCGGAGAGTTCGCCTGCCTGGAGGACGACTCCTTGGGCTTTACGGCCCTTGTTCAGACAGATCAACATCGAAGGCATCGCGCGCTGCAAGCTGTCGGCACCAACCGAAGCGGCCGAGCGCTGCCGACTTCCGGGAGCCCCACGGTTCCCGATGTCAGGGCCTCTTTCGCGGCCATGGGGCAAAATGGTCAGGTGATCAAGGTCAACAAAGGAAGGCAGGTGCTTTTCTCTCTGATGCCTCGGCCCTGAACCTGCTCAAAGCCCTAAACCCATCCCCCGAATCCGACGACCCTGCAGTGTCTGGCCTTTGGACCACTACAAGAACTACATGCCTCCGTATGCTGAGCACATCGAGTCGATCCAGCGCTTCAAGGGCAACTATCTTGTCTTCTCAGGAGCCTTAGAGAGGTCCAGATCTATCACCTAATATCACCTAAAGCCTTCCCGAAGATTAAAAAAAACGTGTGCAGTAGTGATGATCATTCGCATCACACAAGTAGCCATCAGTATCTTGCCATTATTGTTTCCTTGGTCATGTTAAATAATCGACCGAGAGAGCGCAATACCCCTTACTCCCGGCTATCGGCACCGAGCGCCGGGTTCTTCGAGCTTCTGAGTAGCCGCTCTACGGGGAGAGCTACTTCGTGGAAGATCCCTCGGCCTCAATCAAGGAAGAAACCTTTGAATTACGTAGGGGGGGATTTTACCAAGTCCAAGTGGAATTGTGGGCTCTCTGGGGAGGTCCTAAACCCTAAACCCTAAACCCAAACCCTAAACTCTAAACCTTAAACCCTAAACCCCCTTAACCTGACTCACCAGGCAGGTGGAAGAGAGGTCTCAAAACAAAAACAACCCTCTTTGCTGGGGAGGAGCGGAAAGCGACGCGGGCGACCTCTTCATTGCTGTCTTGCAGGGCACTGGCTCGGGCCCTCTTGCCCAGCTGAGCGGGCAGGCGAGGGCCTTAGGCAGTCGCTGGGGCTTTGTTTTTTTGGTTAGGAGAAATTTGGGGGGTTAAGGGGTTTTGGGGAATTAGGGCTTTGAGTCTTCAGGGTTTCGGGTTTAGGGTTTAGGAGCTACTGTCTGGCAAAGACTCGTTGGAGCTATGCAAGACGGTACTCACAAAGCGTGTTCCGAAGCCGACAAGTACCCCAATGGGCAGAGTCTGAGAGGAGCGTATGCCTTTTGAGCCAACGCCGAGGTTGTGAAGCGGGTGATCGTGGACTCGACCCTGACCCATGCTGGTGGCCTTCAGATCAGTGGGGATTTGCTGGCAATTGGGGCCGAAGCGCAGTGCTCACCCATGCAGAGAGTGTTTGGAGGCTGCAGCAAAAGATCGCAAGTGTTCTTCTTCGACGTGTCTGATCCAATTAACCCAGTCAAGCTACCCACTGTGATCGACCGGCCGGGGAAGACTGCTGGGGCTGTCGGAATTGGACGTCAGGACAACGGTAAGTGGCTAGTGATGGTGGGTGATGGTGACAACAACAATATCGATATCTACGTGGAGGGGGACGATGGATCCTTCGGCCTTGTAGCGTCTTGGAGCAAGTACGAGCTTCTGAAGGATGCGGGGGTGTCTGGCGGCTACAAATCCTACCAAAACATGAACATTATCCTCCAAAGTGATGGGCAGATTTTCATCGTTTGCACTGCGCTCTCCTCCATGATCATGGGCTCTGACTACTTCGATCTCTTTACTGTGCAGCCTTCTGAGGGCAGGGCTACAATCACCATGGTATCCTCCAAGAAGGCTGGGTCACCGAAATGATAAGGCCCTACAGTAAAGCCCTCAACACCACGCTACCGCCCCACCGAGGCGATTTAGGGGCTGCAGAGACTAAAACAGGAGGGGCCATAATGGAAGAAGCAACGTGATGAGGCCACGTGCCACGGCTGCACGTTCGCCGCTGGTGCGGGGATCTATGTGAATCCAGAGAGTCCTTCACAGATGCTCGGCTATGCGTCGGGCTGGCTGCCCTCTTCGAACTCGCTTTCAAGCTTTCCGGCAAAAGGCGATACCATCTTCGTCAACGAGTTCTGAGTAGTTTTATGCAGGCTGCAGTAGGCTACATTAACTTTTGTTCGGGAATAGGCTGCATGCCTTGCCCCTCTGTGCCCGAAGCGCATAGCCACTGCAGAACGTTTTGAACAAAATCAGAGATCCCCGCGGCACGTGAAGCCTCCATCTCTACAAGAGCCATGCAGGCAAGCCCTTCCAAAAAGAGCTCAGAGAGCAGCCGGCATGGATAGGTTGGAACGAAGCATGGTTCAGGGTTTCGCCATTGCTTTGGAATTGCTGTTAGGATTTTTGAAGGTGCAGTGTTAACATGCCGGTGACCATCGTTGTGCCGAGGTGCACATTGCACTGTCTGCTGCGCTTCAGCTCTTGAGACAAAGGAAAGTCCAGGCCCGGTGGTGGAGTGTGGAGCACTGCCCAAACGCAGCGAGGTAGAACAGCAGTAGGACATATATTAACAGTAAAATCCTTAACACCCGAAGTTCGGGACTGATGAAGGAAGTGAGAGGAGTGCGAACACTGGCTTCAGTCTTCGACGGTTCAGACCCGTTCTGGGCCTTCCTCCCGTATGGCCGCCGAAGCATGCACAACGCTCCTGTTAGGTGTCACATACTCGACTCGAGAGAGCAGAAAGAGTGCTTTTATAAAGATGCTGTATGTACGTACGTAAGTACGTACGTATGTATGTATGCATGCATGTATGTATTTATATCTATGCATGTATGGAGGTATGCATGCATGTGTGTATGTATGTATGTATGCATACATGTGTACACATGCGTGTGCGTGTATATCTATATATATATATATATATATATTAGTATATATATATATATATATTTATGTACATGTGGCGAATTTGCATATATGTGTGCATGTACATGTACATGTATACGTCCACGTATATGTATATGTATATGTATGTATATATATATATATATATACATACATACGCACACGCACACATGTGTGTGGCTGTCTGTGCTCACACTGAAGATGTATTTGCTCTGTGCTTTCTCTCGCTCTCTCTCCCTCCCTGTCCGTCTCTCTATGTATGCACACACACACACACCCACATCCATCGATCCCTCCATCCATCCATCCCTCCCTCCCTCCCTCCCTCCCTCCCTCCATCCATCCATCCATCCATCCATCCATCCATCCATCCACATCCGTGCATGCATGCATGCATGCATGCAAAACCCTGTCCCACACGTGCATACATGCATGCATGCATGCATACCTACACTGGACCTACACATACATATATATGTGTGCATATATATATATATACTTATGTACACACACAGACACACACCCTAAAGCTGCATTTGTATCTGTATCTGTTTCTTCATATATGCATATATATATATATATGTCGATACCTGTAGCTGTATCTATGTCTATATCTTATATCTATGTCGATAGCTAGATCTGTATCTATACTTATTTACGCGGATACATGTGTGTGCATACATGTACATCTACATATATATATATATATGTATATATTTATATGTATATGTATATATGTATATATGTATAGATGTATATATGTATAGATGTATAGATGTATATATGTATATATGTATATATGTATATATGTATATATGTATATATGAACCCTAAACCTTAAGCCCCTAAACCCTGAATCCTAAACCCCTCAACCCCTAAACCCCTAAACCACACACCCTAATTATACCCTTAAATCCTGACTGTAGGAGCTGCTCTACAGCGAGGGCGGCCTCCTGACGCTGCAGATGAAGAATAGCCAGGCAGCCGCCGATTGCAGAGGGTTTAGGGTTTGGGGTTTAGGGTTGAGGGTTTGGGGTTTATAGGGTATCGGGATAAAGCTTGCAGTTCTCTTCGCGCACAGCGCAAGCAGAGACCTTGAAATGGCCAGGCGGGCTCTCGATTTCTGTCGCAGCTCGTGCCCGGCAGCGAGGAGAGTGCTCCAAGTTTGGGGCTGAAGCGTGCAAGAGCCGCTGCTAAGGGTGTAAGTGCAGGGGCTAGTTAGAAGGCATGGCCAAAACATTCGGCAGCGTCTACGACGATATTCGGTAATTTCGGGACTAGCTGGGCATGGAGGCAGAAGCGTACAGAGTCTGTGAGGCTTAGATTTGCACGGGGGCTTCACTTTCCAAGTCCTTGGATCCGAGGCGGAAGACCAAAAACACAGGAGTTAGGAACCCTGAAGAGTTGAAGGATTCCTTTATGATCGCTTGTGTAATCCTAGACTAAGTTGACCCCACGAGTGCACTCCAGTAGTCAAGTCCAGCTCCTAGCTACTAGCCGTCTGTGCCAATGCCTACAGAGGGCTTCAAGACTCGCCGCCCCTTGCCTGCACCTGTACCTCGCAGTTGCAGGCGAAGGTTTTCGATGTGGCCGATGAGGCCGATGCTAAGCCCATGTTGCTCAAAGTTGTGGAGGATGCTGAAGGTGACCGGCTCCTTCTCCTTGTGCGGCTGCTCTAGGATGGAGACGAAACATTTATTTTGAGGCCTTGGGCTCTCGCGGCATTCAGAGCCCTAAACCCGAAACGTTCTCCCGCGGACCTGAACTAAAAGACTTCCTAAACCGTAAGCCTGTAAGCCTTATGGACTCTGAGCCAGAAGCCGCTCTGCGCCTTGGGTTCTTGGATCAGGCCCTGGTCTCCCTCCGCTTCGTGACACCAGCAAAGGGCACCTCCCAGGCCAGACTCCTCTCGGGGCCAGGGTGTGGCGGCCTTGGGGTTGCTGGTTTCTTATTTGCTTAAGGGGGGGGGCTGCAACATTGTCTGGCCTGTGGCATGGTGCTGGGGGAACGTCACGGTGGAAGTCATCCTTGCTCCTCTTGAAGCTTCCTTCAAGCACAGCCTTGGACTCGGACGTCCGAGATTCAGCCGTGCTTGATGGATCGCGGCAGGGGCTCTTTCGGCAGGGGCACTTTCGGATGGCCCTTCGTTGAACCCTTGAATGAAGATCCATATCGAAGATGATGTTAGTCCACTTCATGCCATGGTTCGAGAGTGAGTACATAAATCCTGGTAGCTGAGGCCTTGAGTGACTTGAGTGAGTGGGATGTGACATAGAAGCCTAAACACTTACCAATATTAGTCTCCAGCATCCTTGATTCGAGTTCTACTGTAATATACCTACCCCAACTTCCCACTCTAATAGAACATCGAGGGTCCCCATCTTGGGTGTTCCAGCAAGATCCGAGTCCGAGCAGTCTCCGAAGAGGTGCTCTCCTTGCTCCTGCCGTTGATCTTCTTATTTGTGTGGTATCAGGTTGCAAAGTCCAGGCCTCAGAAGCTTGTCGATTGCGTCTGGTTGCATCATGTTCGTACGTTTTACGATAGAAGGTTGAGCAGCGCCGCGGCAACCGCTCGTCTCGCCATCACCATCTGAACAGCTTGGCTACACCTGAGCATCACGTCAGCTGCGCAACTGAGGTCACTGATCACACGAGAAAACAAGTGGACACCGACAAGAAGTCGTCTGCACACCGAGCCTGTGTTGCTTGACAGTCCTCCTGCATTGCAAGATGCAGTAGTTGCTGTAGTCCTCCCGAAAGTGCCCTTCGCCGCAGACTCGTCTGTCCGGCCAATGACAGGCCCCGAGAAAGAACGACCTTTGCGGACGTTGTGAGCCGCAGCAAGGCTGCCATCGCTATGCAAGCACAAAGCATTTGTGTGCGCAGAAGTATTCTCTTACATTGCTTTGGTATATTGATGATATATGACGTTGCACTGTCCTGTACCGACACACTTCATCAATCAGCAGGTCGAGCTCAGTGAGATCGTGGAATACCTGAACCACCCTGCGAAGTTCAAGCAGGCGCTGGACGGGCTGGGTGTTTAGGATTCCTATGGGGACTTTAAGTAATTACCAATACTATTTCGCGTTCCTTATGGTAACTATACCCCAAAGCCCTATTCTAATTGTCAAGCCCCCTGAAGTTGGCGAATGAGAAGTGAAGCTCACTCAAGCAACTGGGTCCAGCCCTTCGTTTTGGCCTTCCGAAGTGAATCGAGGCCTGCCTCTCAACTCCCAAATCCTAAGTACCAACCCAAGAACTGCTAGGAGGGTTCCCTGTAATGGAAGACCCTGCCCTCTGAACTTCGATGATACTTTGTACAATCTGTAAAGGTGTTCCGACGCTGCAGCAGCACGAACCTGCTCAACAAGCCTAGACTAAATTCGAGCGGATAGGAGCTTTTATCCCAAACTTTCCCAGACCCGAAAAAAGCCCTAAGCCTAAACCTCAACCCTGAACCCGAAGCTCGAAAACACCTTACACATGTATATATATATATATGTATATACATATTGTTATATAAATTGTACATTCACGCTCATATATACATGTATAAGGAACCTAGTATAAGGAAGCCTAAACCAAAACGCAAGGCCGGTGCGAAGATGCCTCGTGGGGCCCTTCTCGTCGGCTGGGGCCTCAGTGCGCCTTTTGGGTTTAGGGTTTCGGTTTAACGGTTTAGGGTTTAGCTTAGTAGGGGAGGAAGAGGGGACAACACGGAAGGCACAGCGATGTAGGGTTCAGGGATGTGGAGTTCCGGGGTTCGGGGTTGAGATCAAGGGCTCAGGCATTTAGGGTTGAGGACTTGGGGTTTGATTAGGCTTTCGGGATGCCTGGCTTGAACTGATATTTTGTCATTCAAGATTACAAAAATAGCATGGCAAGGAACCTGAAGAGGTCTAGTCAAACGCAAGCAGCTCGACTCTGCTTGCGGTGGCACTTGGCTGCTCCTGGCTGCATACATTCGTATAAGGCAGCGTGTGCTCCAAGAAGTGCCGGTGCCATCGTGGAACGAGCCGAAGACCCGAAACCCTAAACCCCCAAACCCCTCAACCCTGAACCACGAAAAACCTAAACCCCTAACCGAGGCCCAAGCGGCACGGGGAAGACCCTGCTGGCACGAGCAGTTGCCGGTGAGGCGTGGAAGCTTTGAAGTTGAGGCTACTTGAAGTTTAGGGTTTAGGGGTTTAGGGTTTAGGGCCATCGATGCTCTGAAATGCGAGGGTAACTTCGAAAGAGAAGTGTGCAGTTGCAGAATTGCAAGCAGCAAGTGTGCTTTCGATTTTTAAGGGGTGCACCTGAGGCGTGAAGTGCATCAAGGTTGTGGAGGGTCATGGGTTGCCTTAGCATGCAAGCACTTTCCCCAGTACTGGCTAGCAAGCTTGGGATTCACCCTTCCCCAGCTCTTCCACGAGCTCTGGACCGGCTGTGTATTCCAGTAGCAGACTGCCATCCAACACCCGCTTATGCTTTTCGCATGCCTTGAACGTATGAGCTCCGGAAGGCAAACTGCAGCTTTCTCAGCGCCTCTGCCTCGGAGTTTGTCGAGGCCTGCACGCCGGTCTCAAGCTAGTTGCCTTACACTGCGTGTATTGCTTACATCATCGTTCGTCATGTCACATGATCTTTTGATAGGCCTGCCGGGAATCTTTCTGAAAAGCGCTGGCCGTCTCGACGGCTCTTTGGGGCCAACGTAAATGCTTCGCTCGCTCAACATCGTGTGTTTAGTTGGAAGGGTGGTGCGGTTGATGATATAAATCCTGCATTACCCATAATAAGGAATATACCCTAATCCGAATAGTTGAGGGTCCTTAAGGTGATGCAGGATGTTTATCATCAACAGTAGGGTATGCCTGGCTCTGACCTGACACCTCGCATTCCCAGGCCCTAAGTCCCCAGACCTAATCCCTAAACCCCAAAACCCCAAAACCCCCAAACCCCTAAACGCCTAAACCCCGAAACCTTCCAGGCTTCTAACCCACTAAACTCCCAAGCCTCCGCCATCTTCGTCCTGGACGCCCGCGCCAGTGAAAGGAGGGGCCTAGGGACCCAGGGGCGTGTCTCGGGAGCGCCGAGAGCCGCGTGGTCAGGGCCCAAAGCTGGGTGTAGGGCCTCTCGGGCGTAGGTCTTCGAGAGTGTAAGGATTATTTTTCAGATCGTTTCGGCTTTTGGCGGAGGTTCGGATTTTGTGGACATGTACCGCCGGCTGTGGCTTTGGCTTCGTTTGATATGAGTTCTGAGGGATCTCAGTCAGCATGTAGGATTCCAGTTTTGACCGATTGGCATCATGCCAATTGCCTTTCTTTAGTCATGTCGTGCCCTGAAGCATCCGGTTGAGCTCATTGCACTTTTCTCTTAGTGTTCATGTGGGCTGGCAGAGATTTCCGGTTCAGGTTCCCGGCAGCAGAGATGTCGGCACAGTTTCCAGGACCTTCGGAGCCACAACCCCTCCCAACCCGGGCCAACCGGTACCTCTGTGGTGTGTTTGAATGCATTTTCTGCAGACCTTCAGCTCCAAAATCTAACGATCGATGTCTGTTTCGTGAGTGCTCCAACTCCCTGCACTTCAGCCAAGACTGTCGAGGTCGGCTGGTGGAGCCATGGACGCGAAGAAAGGGGGGCGGGACCGCGTTTGGGAGGCACCTTTGACAGTGAAGCGTAGCAGCTTGGGATCAGGGTTTCAGGTTAAAGCTCACGCCCAAACCTGCGCAGCCAGAGGATGTGAGTCGATTGTCGACACCTTAAGATTCAACGCAGAGTTTCGTTGTGCCAGGGTGGTCATACTGTCATTGACCACTTCAGCCCTTTCTACAGCCGGGGACCCAGTGTGCTGTCTGTGGAACGATCATCTGCAGTTCTCAGCGTTTGCGAGGCAGGAGGAGTTGATGTGCCAAGCCCTCGACCAAGGCAAATATGCTGACACCACCGCAGCCAATGACAGGATTCGCGAGGAGCGATGCAAAATACGGTTTTGGGGTATTTTGTCCTGTGATCACCTTAGGCTTCTATGCTTCGTACATGCTTTTGGAGCATTGCTAAGGTGCCTGGATAGGCTCAGTCGCCCAGCGTAGCGTTGCTTCTGGAGATGCATCCTTCCTGAAATGAGCCAGTTTTGGCTGTCTTGTGCTATGAAAATCCTATGAGCCAGGCTGCCATGCTGATGTGCGTGACAGAAGGCCAGATAGAGGACGGAGACCTAGAAGAGGCAACGACAGCATCGGAAGGCGGGGTCTTCGAAGCACCCGTTTCCTGTACCCTTCTGGCTTAATGTAGGGGATCAAATGATTGCCCATACGATTTTGGAGGTTCCTTAGTAAAAAAGTAGAATATATACCGAAAACTTTATATTAAGGCCAGCGTATGGCGTGCTCGAGGCTGCCTGGAAATCTTCAGAGAAGAGGGTGACGAAAGAGGCTCGGATCGTTTCCACCATGGCGAGCACCTTGTTTCCGTTGACTCTGGCCAAGTTCTTTTAATAAGCATGTCACGTAACTTCCCTCTTCAGCAATTGTAGATACCATGCGCAGCTTTCTCGGCATTTCATGAGAGCAGAGCAGGTACACGCGATGCGCTCCGACTAGTTATCCACGTTTACCGCGCCAAAGCGGACGAGGCGCAAAAGCCTCACGATGGTTAAGGGTTTAGGGTTTCGGGGTTAGGGTTTAGGACTTAGGATTTTGATCGAGGCTTTCAGCTGCAGTTTGCTCATCTGCGACTGCGCATCATCTTGCACTGTCTGGCTTCGAGCCCATCTGGCGATGTTGTGCAGGCCCGAAACAAAGGCGAACGAGCTGATGCGCTCAGCTCAGACGCATGATAGCTGACATGCTGTGCTATCTGCGGCAAGCACTCTTGTATCGAAGACAGCAGCAGCAGCAGGCCAGCAACATGTCATACACTGCTACTCCGAGACCGTCTATGACATCACGTTGACCTGACGTCTCAACCCATCTGCTTCCCAGAGCATTCCAAGGCTCGCGAGCTGCTAGAGAAGGCCGAAGCCATGGCGGAGGAGGCACGTTTTTTTGCGGGGGCTTTCGGGGAGTCAGCTTGGAGCCGTGGTACGGCAGGCGCCTGAACCCTTGAGCCGGTTTGGGTCAGAGTTGGGTGCCTTGAAGCTGACGCGAGTTGGCAGGGACTTGGGTAGGAACGACTGAATGCCTCTAAAACCTGCAAGCATCTTCAAGCCCGCCTTCACCGCAATTCAGGTGTGGCCCTATAGGTTGCCTTTACCCATGCCCATCTGAACCCGAAGTGCAGTGCCTGGGCCCTGCGCAGGAACTTTCGAACTACCGAGACGCCGGCGACGACCTTGGTCAGGCGGACGATGCACGGATTTTGGAGGTGTTCTCTGGCTTGCGAACAGTCTTCATGTTCGATTTGCTTCGCCCCCCCCTGCAGGGCTGCATGCTGCTCTCGATGGCGGAAGCCGCCTGTGCCTACCGGGGAAGCTCCAAGCGCGACGAGGCCATAGCTTTGCTTCCCTTAGACCTTAGGTTGCGAGATGGCAAATTTTGCCTTCTGCTGTTCGGTCTGTGGTTTAGCTTAGGGTGCTACATGGGTTTGGGCTGCAGTTTAGGTTCTGTTCTGTTTGATGTTCTCCTGTTGGTGTAAGGTGGGTAGAATGTGCGGTCTTCAAAGTCCGGTGGGATATTTATCAGTACTATATATTCCTGAGGGCCTTAGGGAATGAGGGTTCCGTACTTTATTTCAACCCTAAGCCCTATTTCTCTCTCCCTATTTGTCCCTCTCTCTCGCTGTGTATACATGTATATGTATTATGTATATACAAAGAGATATAAATATAGGTAAAGGTATTTATATGATACACGTGCACACCCCGAAGCCCGGCTGTGACTGTTCAGGCCCGATCCTATTCGTTTTCTCATCGTTACATGGTTGGGGTAGATCACGCCGGCTAAGGCAGACCAGCACTTCCCCCCCAAACCGCCTGCAAACCACTTCGAAGCCCAAATATGTATTCATACTATTCCGCAGGGTTCCTGATTATAAGGATAGTATACTATACTAGTACCACTAACACATTAAGGCCCATAACCCCCTGTAAATCCCTTGCAGAACCAACCCTGCAAAGCATCCCTTAAAGGAACCTGTTTCTAGTTTTCGAGGCCCTTATATGACTCCGATTCCCCAAGCGCCCAGGCACTTGAGAACGCCGAAGAAGCGCTGGCGATTTTCCGCGAGGCGACAAGCGCAGTTCGAGTTGAGCTTCACGGTTTGGATTCAGATGTGTTTCTGGGCTTTGGGGGTTTGGAGTTTAGGGTTTAGGGTTTACCGTTTAGGGCTTGATGGTTTAGGATTCAGGGTTTGGAAGGCTTAGGGTTTAAGGCCTTTTGGGTGTTTGGCGGGTCTAAGGTCGTGCCACAAGTTCTCTTCTCCAAAATGTCACGTCCTGCCCCTGCCCTCACCTAAACCCTCAACCCCAAATCCGATACTCAATAAACACTAAACTTTCTGAACAAAAGCCCGAAACCTGCCGAGTCTTCGACCCTAAACACCTGCTAACGCGCAGTTAAGGTGGAAAGAGGTGCTTTAAAACAACCTACCAAAGCCAGGTCAAGGATCCCAAGTACGAAGGTCTCGCAGCGCTCAGTGTCGCAGAGGTCGGGTCTACCTTAGGCTTTCAGGGTTTTGGGTTTTAGCCGGGAGTTAAGGGGTGTTTAAGGGTTTAGTTTCAGGGTTTGGGGCCGATTTAGGGAGCAGGGACCTGACTGGATTTTTGGGAGTTTAGGGCTGAGGGTGTCGATGACGGATGAAAGCAAAGGCTTTCGGATGCAGGAATTGCTGGTATCCCCATAGCTTGCTGCTCGGGCATGAGGATCATGTTTTAGTTTTCGAGCTTTAGCAGGCTTTGTATAGGTCTTCCTCATTGTCACCCCGGTCGTGGCAGGTGTACTTCCGTAAGCGGAACTTCCACGCGGCGCGAAGGGCTGCAGCTGAGGCCGACTTGTGGTTTCGGTGCCAGGAAGGCAAGGTGTAGGGTTAAAGTGAGGGTATGGCCCTAAACCCTAAACCCTAAACCATGGGAGGCTTTTGCAAGGATGGGGTCTCAGATGGCTTGGCCATGGTGAAGGCCTGAGGATTCGCACCCCCTTCCGTGCAAGCTTATGGGTATGGGGGATTCCTCCTGAAGGTCGGGCAAGTGCCACAAACCCTCAACCAGAAACCCGAAATCCTAAACCCGGAACCCCAAGCCCTAAGATTCCTAGGAGCATCTTCTCACCTGTTGGCGGCAAGGCCACCGAGATCTTTAAGGGCATCGATGACAAGCTCTGCCAGGCGGTCCCGGGGGCCGTGTAGTAGGAATCTGCACCCAAGGGCTCAGAGTTTGGCGTAACGTTTCGGGCCAGCTTAGGGTTCCGAAACCCTAAGCCCTGCAGCTCCATAACATAATCAGCTACAAAAGGGCAAGGGAAGGAAGGCGATCCTTTGCGAGGCCATGTCTCTACACATGGGCGCGGCCACCGAAGCAAGGGCAGGTGCAGGGAGCCCAGAACCTTGTTTGATGGCCCAGTGAAAGCTGAGCACGGTAGTCCCAGCATCTTCGACAGAGGCTGCCAGACTTCAAGTGGGGCAGTCTGACCACGTCACACTCCACCCTCCTATCGAGGCTGTAAAGACAGAGTCACCGTCACTGAGTCACTATGAGCCTGAAGCCCCTGAGCCCAGACCCTCAACCGCTTGCCCAAGCATTCCGTCCGTCCACGAGGTCTTAGAGATGGCCATCCGACTTGGCCGAAAGTCGTTGAAGCCTGCTCCCCAGAATTGGACTTCAATGTGAAACGTAATATATTTGCCTACCCATCTCTATGACATGTGCATACAAACATATTCCTGTGTATATGTATGCATATCTTTCTTCTAGAATTGTACATTCTGTTCTGTTACGACATAGTATGCTGTTGAAGTTGTGGTCCAAAGACTTGCTCTATCTTTCGCCATGCATAGAAGCCGTCGTTTCCATGCTTATCGCTGTCACTTGAACGTCCGACGGGCAAGCTCGGAAGCCGTGCGGCTGGGCTAGGCCTTGAGAAGTCCCAACTCTGGATCTCGACCCAGGATCTTGCAAGAAAGCGGCTCCAAGAAGCAGCAGGTGGGAGATTTGTGGTCTAGGTGGAAGTCTCAACCATCTTCAAAGATGGCCCTGTTTCCCGTGGCCTCTTGAAACCTGCAGATGGCGAGTCTGCTCGCTCTGGGCCAGTTCTACCTCATGCGGGAGGCGGGTGGTGGCAATAGCAGTAGTAGTAGTCGTGGTGGTAGTAGTAGTAGTAGTAGTAGCAGTAGTAGTAGTAGTAGTAGTAGTAGTAGAGTAGTAGTAGCAGTAGTAGTAGTAGTCGTCGTCGTCGTCGTCGTCGTCGTCGTCGCAGCACCAGTAGTACTTACTACTAGTACTTGTAGTACAGCACAAGTGATGCATTAAGGACGAGGAGGG